AAAGAAAATTTACCTTCATTTTGTCCTCAAGTTTTTCACAGAGAACCCGATTGAGTTCTTGGACATCATGTTGCATGAAAGAATCATATGTATCCCAACCAAACGACTTTGTCAGCTCTTTTGTCGCAACACTAGTGTCGTTATATTGGAGCTTGTAAAACAAACTTTGAAGAGCCAAAGGTATACTTGCTGTGGGCGCATCATTCTCAGTTGTTGGCATGTGGTATACAGCCTACAAGCAACATGCAACATTCAGTTGTCTTGTGAGAACCCGTAAAATTTAACAAACTGAAGAAGAAACCAAGAAGATATCTAACCTTTCTGAAGTAAGGTATGTGGTATAATGTCTGTAGGAGAGAATTCATGTAACAAGTTGCACCTTGGTTCTTGAGTCCAACAAAACCAGTCTCTTTTTTAGAGTCATATGACCAGTAATCAAGAACCTTACGTACAGCGACTTCAGCTTCAACCAAAACAGTATCATTCAATAAATATCCTCTACTAGGATCATAAAGTTCACTGAGAGGCATGAATGATGTAAATCCCCAATCGCTTTCTCTTGCATTGAATTGATGTTGCGTCTCTGCGACACAAAAAGGAACCATAATGTCAGTGAACAAATTGTATCACCGAAGGTCACTTATAGATACATTATGAGAGTACCAAATTCTTGAGAAACGAGGTTTCACTTGGAAATGCAAAAGGGTGCATAACATGAATATTTCAATTTCACTATGGGGTTCAGGTAAGCTTAAGACAGCAATAACATGATTTATATTCAAATATGCACGAGTGATCCCTTCTTCCAGTCCAACATTTGAACTTTCGCAAATCATAATTTCCCTGTCCTCGGGCATTATATGCGCATGCATGCACTCAAAATCCTGGGTTGATATAAAAAATTAAACATCATGAATAAATTACAGGTACCCTTTCTAATGGTATATCTGCTGTGGATTTGATTGACTACAGCCAGACTGAACTGAGCATATCTGCTCCATCCGTACGGCAAGCTCGCAGCATCAGAAACATCCAAGTACATGGACAAATGGTCGACATTGTTCCCTTTCGGGAAAATTAATATACGCCTGCAGAAGCAAATCCAAATTGTGTCAACCAAAGCAAAATACATATTGGACAAACAATGGCAACAAGAAAGTAAACACTACAACTAGGTATACACTATTACCATTTGTAACCTCCAACGACAAATACATCGGAGTAATGCTTCCTGGTGTTTTGCCTAGAGAAATTTGGGATCGTCCACGTGAATTTCAGAGAAGGAGGATCCTCAGCTGGCTGATTCTCCACAGTACTCGCAGCAGTCTCAGGTTGGGAAACTACAATTGAATCAACAGTTGGTGTGAAAAATTAATGGCAAAACCCTAATCCCTGTATAAACCACCAATCCTAGCCTCTAACACTACAGTCTTATATCAACAAGATCTTGTCTCATCCAATCAAAACCAGAAGGATAGAAGAAATTTCTTAAGCAGAAGATCAAATTGAATCAGACCCAAAAAAAAAGTCTAACCATCCATAGGCTGAGCAGGTGCCTCGACCAAATCTGAATGCGGCACAAGCATCTCCTCATCTTCTTGCTGCTGCGAAAACCATGAAGGTTAGAAAAACAAAACTTCTGACCCCCAAAAAAAAACCCTAATCTCACCCTACGCTGATCGTTAAACAGAGAAAAAAAAAATAGAAACCACAATCACTAAACTAACACACCGGAAAACAAAAATCGGAGCACCTCCTCGATGATTCAACCGCTTCAAATTCAAATCAAATCCAAAAAAAAAAAACCTAATTGATCAGCTATACAAACAATCGGAAGCAGATTCAGAGCGAATACACGAAGGGGACATCAAAATTAAAAAGAGACAAGAGAGAATGATGAATCGGAAATTACATCAACCGGAGGCGGAGTCATCATAGTCATTGGCCGGAGAAAAAATTGACGGTGGGGGATCGAGAAAACCTAACGAACAGAGGAAAAAATCAAAAGAGAAGGGCCAAAGTGACTCTAAAGGGGAGAAAACACAATCGCTCGTTCTTTTTCTTACTCTTTTCTCGGCTTCGATATGGATAATAATGATATTTTCGAGAAATTAAGGGGCTATTTATGTAATTTCATAAATGCTCCGTACTCAGATTTATAATTTCTCCGAGGTTGGGTCCTTTCTAACAAGACAGACCAATGAGAAAGCGACACGTAAAAGACTTAGGACGATGCTACTGTCATACAAAAAATTCTCAACGTGGCTGCTTGGAAGATTAGATTTTCACCTGACGTCGTGCGAGTTTTTTTTTTTTTGTTCTTTGCTCTAAAATTACTTAAAAGATTGTTTTAATTAATTATTTGTTATTAATTCTGTCAATTTTACTATGTTTTTTTGTCGTAAATTAATTGGGAAACATGCAGAAGAGTTATGAAACACTAAACACATTCCATCTCGATATTGCTTGCTTTGATGGAAATTGGACGACATGGATGATTAATGATCAAATGTGAATTAGTGGTGTTTGTCAATTTTAGTCTTTCTTTTCTCTTTTTAAAAATTGGGCCTTGGCAAAGCTGGGCTTTTTGAGAAACCCAATGTTTTGTACATTCATATATTTATTTTGTAATCATGATCTCAAGTTCATAAGAATCATCAAATTCAAAGAGCAAGAGTTAAGTAAAAGATTGAGTTCATGCAATACTTATAACATGAAAGAATGAGTTTTGAGTGAAATGTACCCTAGATGTGTGAACTAAGAGGAAGTGCAACTTATTTGAAAAAAAAAATGGAATGGAAATTAGATAATAGTGGTGGATTTTTATGAGCTTTGTGAGTGAGAAATACTTGTATAGTGAGGAGAGGAAATCAAGAACAAGAGAAAGTTATTTAAGTTTGCGAAAAGAGGGTTTAGAAGCTTGGTTTTGTTTAAAATTTGTTGGTTTAGGGCGGATAGTTGGTTTAAAGAACAACATACCAAAACTTAAAACTAGAAAACTTGCCTTCACCGGATCGAAATCGTGGTGTTAGTATCATTTATGTGATTTAAAAATCCATTCGAGAAATTTTTTTCTTTTTCTTACACCGAGGTCTTGGGTGTATTTACCTCTTTGCATAATCCTGAAAATTGAAACCGACGCTAATGTTTTAGTGTTATCAAAAACAGAAAATTGAAAGGAGTTGCAAAAGAAAATGAAAAGAGTTTGGTCGCTTAAACTTTTAGAATTTTGAAGTATATAAAAGATTTGATACCATACAAAGATTAAAATTTGATAGTATTAATAGACATTTTTACAAAAAAAATTTACTAGTATAGCCAGGACTTACTCTATGACTTAAATAATCACAACTGATCTCTATAATGCACATAATACTGACTTTCATGACCAAAGGCAGAGAAGCCAAAATCTCATAGACCGGGCTGGACCTATGTATATACCTGTAAACTTTTTCTTTGTCATGAAAACTGTTGATTTATAAAAGTTTTTTTTTTTTTTTGGAAGAGTCGAAAACCATGAAGTAGAGACACACTAATGCGCATGAGATGAAAGAAGTAGTGTGATACATTTTGGGACTATTTTTTGAGAATAAGTTAAGCTTTTGAAGTCATGTATGTTATATAGAATACCACAAGTTCCTTCCTAAAACTTGAGAAATAAGGTCTTCTAGTTTTATGTGTTTATCTCTTCTTTATCTTCTCTACATAAGTACATATATAATTCAATATCTCCATCATCATCAAATTAACTTGAAACTAGCTAAAGATTAGGTTAAAACTTGCGTCATCATCAATAGACAATTGATTTTTCCAAGTTATCTGCATTTTTGTCTCATTCGTGAAATGACCACCGAACAATATATTTATACAAAATTCTAAAGCATGGAATAAAATCAATCTAAATAGACGAAAAATGTTAAGACTTTCCGGATAAATAGACGTGGACAAGTCACCTCTCATTGCGTCCCTTTTACTTTCATCTTCACCTGACCAAACTTTGAATTCCAATACCATGTTTTCATAAATATTTGAAATTTCAAGCGATACACTTTATCAAGTTCAGCAAATTTTAATTTGT